TTTACCATCAGAGGTAGCGCTCCTGCTTCCAAAAGATCCTCCTTCTGAGCTCCCTGGGGAGCCAAGAGTAGAGGAATCTCTTTCCACAGCCTCTCTTGTAGGAAAGTCCTTACCCATAGGAACCTCTGAGAAGTTCCACTTTGAGCAAGGCAAGTTTCACTGCAGCTCGTGTACATTTCTTTGTTCTCGGCTCTCCTCTATCACCTCTCATGTGACTGAAGGCTGCCGAGGGGAGCGTAGCCAGAGAAGAAAGCGTGGGCATCCGCAGACCCATCCTGCTGTGCTTCCCCTAAGCAATGGGGACTCTGCTCTCTTGAATAGTGGAAGTACAGAGTCCAGCCCTGGTGATAGAGACACTGCTGTGGTTCAGAAGCAGAAGGGTGCCCTCTTCTCCTGCCCCACATGTCCCTTTAGCTGTCAGCAGGAACGGACCCTAAGGACTCACCAGACCCAGGGCTGCCCCCTTGAGTCTGGAGATCTGCACTGTAGTCTCTGCCCATTCATTGCTTCTGCTGCTGCTGCTCTGAGGCTCCATCAAAGGCGGAAGCACGCCACTACAGCCCCAGCCTCTGGCCCCCGGCCCCTTCTACAGTGTGGGGACTGTGGCTTTACCTGCAAGCAAAGCCGGTGCCTCCAACAGCACCGGCGACTCAAGCATGAGGGTGTAAAGCCACATCAGTGCCCTTTCTGTGATTTTTCTACTACTAGACGGTACCGTTTAGAGGCCCACCAATCTCGACACACAGGTGTTGGCCGCATCCCTTGCAGCTCCTGCCCGCAGACATTTGGTACCAACTCAAAACTGCGTTTACACCGACTACGAGTACATGATAAAACACCCACCCACTTCTGTCCACTCTGTGACTATAGTGGTTATCTTCGTCATGACATCACTCGCCATGTCAACAGCTGCCACCAAGGCACCCCCTCCTTTTCCTGCTCTCAGTGCGAGGCCCAGTTTAGCTCAGAAACAGCACTGAAGCAGCATGCTCTGCGCAGACACCCAGAACCTACACACCCATCCTCTGGCTGTCCTGTAGAGGCCACTGAGGGCCCCTTGCACTGTTCCCACTGTGGCCTGCTCTGCCCCAGTCCTGCCAGCCTACGAGGACATATCCGTAAACAGCACCCAAGGCTGGAGTGTGGGGCCTGCCAGGAGACCTTCCCTAGCAGGCCAGCACTGGATGAGCATCGGAGGCAACACCATTTCAGCCACCGCTGCCAGCTCTGTAACTTTGCTGCCCGAGAGCGAGTAGGCCTGGTAAAGCACTACCTGGAGCAACATGAAGAGACTTCAGCAGCCCCCTCAGGTGGGGATGGGGATGCTGGCCAGCCCTCTCTTTGCTGCCCCTTTTGTGACTTTGCATGTCGATATCAGTTGGTACTGGATCACCACGTAAAGGGACATGGAGGAACCCGGCTCTACAAGTGTACCGACTGTGCCTATAGCACCAAAAATCGGCAGAAGATCACCTGGCACAGCCGCATTCACACTGGGGAAAAGCCTTACCGCTGTCACCTCTGCTCCTATGCCTGTGCTGACCCTTCTCGCCTCAAGGTAAGGTCAAGAACCACATCACAGAAATGCAAGGAATATAGGCTCTGGATGCTGTGACTTTTTTTCAGGTGTGTGTGTGTGTGTGTGTGTGTGTGTGTGTGTGTCACATGTGAGCCTGGTGCCTGCAGAGCCAGAAGAGGTGTTGGAACTTCTAGAACTAGAGTTAAGGACAGTTGTAAGCTGCCATGTGGGTGCTAGAAACTAAGCCCAGGTCATCTGGAAAAGCAACCAGTTCTCTTAATTGCTGAGTCATCTATCCAGTCTCCTGTATTCTGTGACCTTAACAATTACATATATTCACTTAACTTCTCAAAACTTAGATTTCTCATTTGTAACAGGGATAATACAACTTCATGAACTTTTGTAAAGGTAAATTCCATAACTTTGCCATGTGATAAAAGCATGTAATACTTTGAGAGTAATCTGGCTAGTAACAGCTAATATTTATTGAGCACTTAATTTAATGCCTAGTACTGTGATTTTAATCATTTGAAAATACAAAGTGGGTCACTGATAGGGAACTCAGTGATAAGAATATTTGCCTAACATGCACAAGTTCTTGGGTTTAGTCCTCTACATCACATACATACACACAAAAAGATAGATACTTGTTACTGATTATCAAACAGAATTAGAGGTTAACCAACCACACAACACAGCTAGTTAAGAAACAACTGAGAGCCGGGTGGTGGTGGCGCAAGCCTTTAATCCCAGCACTCGGGAGGCAGAGGCAGGCGGATCTCTGTGAGTTCGAGGCCAGCCTGGTCTACAAGAGCTAGTTCCAGGACAGGCTCCAAAGCCACAAAGAAACTCTGTCTCAGAAAAAAAAAACCCTGAGACCTGAGGGGAAGCACTCTGTTGTATGGGGAGTAAGCATTCTGCATTTCATCTTCCAGTACCACATGCGGATCCATAAGGAGGAACGGAAGTACCTGTGCCCCGAGTGTGGCTACAAGTGCAAGTGGGTCAACCAACTCAAATATCACATGACCAAGCACACGGGTAAGTGAGTGTTTGCACTGACTGTTTTGATTAAAGGGTCTCCCTGTTCTCTGGCAACCTTGACCTCCCTGAGATGTTGGATGTCCTAACTCAGACTTAGTGAGTCTACATCAGTGTTCACCTTGGGAAGAGGTGCTACAGGAAGAACACATGCCAAAAATGGCTTGCCAGCCATTGACATGTGTTAAACACCAAAGAGTGGGTAACCCTGAAAGCCCGGACAAGTGTATTTGCAAAACTGTCCCTGGTGATTATGATACAAGTCCACACACACTCTTACACATGGAGAACCTCCAACTCAAATTTTTTTTTCCTTTTCGGGGGGGATTTTTTCGAGACAGGATTTCTCTGTGGCTTTGGATGTTGTCCTAGAATTCGCTCTTGTAGACCAGGTTGGTCTCGAACTCAAAGAGATCCGCCTGCCTCTGCCTCCTGAGTGCTGGGATTAAAGGCATGAGCCACCACCGCCCAGCCCTCCAACTCAATTTTGCGTAACCACTGAGAGAGACTTGGTTTCTGTGTAAATGTGGTAGAATGATTATAAGTGAAAAGAAAGGTGCAAGTCGTTCCTCCCTTTTTTTTTTTTTTAATGTGAATTGGTGCATTTATGTCTCTGAAGATGCCAGATCCCATGAAACTGGAGTTACACACAGTTGTGAGCTGCGTATGGGTGCTGGAAATTAAACCCAGGTCCTCTGAAAGAGCAGCCAGTGCTCATAACCACTGAGCCATCTTTCAAGCCCCAAGTTCCCTATTTTTAATTTATCTTTTCCTCTCTAGTGTATGGAATCCACAAACCATGTGTTCTTTTGAAAGGACTAATGACATTCAGTTATGGCATAGAATGTCAGGTTTGACTGGGACAGAAAAGTATGGCCATTATGCTGCTGCTGTATTCTTTGTATCCAAGTATCATACTGACTTTTTATGACTCGTTGATCCTTGCTCTTCCCTCTTCCATGGTGGTTTGTGCTTGTCCTATAGGACTGAAGCCATACCAGTGTCCCGAGTGTGAATACTGCACCAACCGAGCTGATGCACTTCGCGTACACCGGGAGACGCGGCACCGAGAGGCCCGGGCTTTCATGTGTGAGCAGTGTGGCAAGGCATTCAAGACACGCTTCCTGCTGCGCACCCACCTACGCAAGCACAGTGAGGCCAAACCCTATGTTTGCAATGTTTGCCACCGTGCTTTCCGCTGGGCTGCTGGCCTGCGACATCATGCCCTTACCCATACCGACCGCCACCCTTTCTTCTGCCGCCTCTGCAGCTACAAAGCCAAGCAAAAGTTCCAGGTGGTCAAGCATGTGCGCAGGCACCACCCTGACCAGGCCGACCCCAACCAGGGTGTAGGCAAAGACCCCACCACTCCCACAGTGCACCTACATGATGTGAAGCTGGAAGATCCCAGCCCTTCTGCTCCTCCTGCTCCCCCCACTGGACCTGAAGGCTGAGCCCTTACCACACCTCTGGCTTAGGAATTACATATAGTCCAAGATATCACACTAGGACTGTAGCTAGCCTGAGGAGCTTAGGGCCTGAAGGAGGACTGGCTTTGGGATGGCAGTGTGACTGGAACACACTCCCCACCTTTGGACTCTGGCCTTTGAAATTATCAGCTATATAAAAGATAGGCTTGGACTAAAACAATTTCTTCTTGAGTAGCACTGTGGTTTTAATCTGTGACTGAATCTCCAGTCTCTACCAGAGTCCCTGGCTATAAGGGCTTTGTTTTATTTACTCCATCATCTCTTCCTTCTTACTCCCTTCATGTCCTAGTTTCTTTAACCATTTTCTAAACAATTATACCCAATTGCATGTGTTCCTGTGCCTCGTGCTCTGTAAGCATGTAAAACAGAAGATTACCAGTTAACAGACATGTCTAGATCCCTGTCCTATCATTCCTAGGTTGTCATCTGGGTTTGCCATGTCGTCTGTCCTGTCCCATCCGATGTCCCCCCTCCCCCCTCCCCTCCTTGTCTCTTCTACCTCAAAGAGGTTCTGAAACAGACCCAGATTACTGCCCTGGCTCTTCCCTTCCCTTGCTCCCTGCTTCAAGCTCTTTTGTTTGTCAGAAGAGGATTGCCACCCATTCAGCTTCCACTGGAAGCAGCTTTGATCATCAGTCGGAAGACTGGCTCAGCAGCTGCATCAGGGCGTACAAGCATCAAGGCAGTGTAAAGGCCCAACTGGGGAAGGCTGCATGCCCTGTCTTTTTGCCCCATCCCTTATGAGCCTCTCTCTGTGCCCTCCCTATGCAACACATAGAGGAGAGTCCTTGGAAACCTTGTTTCTTTGCATGCCTCCCCCACACATACTTCCCCTTCTTGCACAACAATGACAGCTATACATCCACCTGACTACCCAAATGTTATTGCCCACCTCCCTGCCCCATACATCCCCTTCTTGCCTAACAATGACAGACCATACAGGAGCCAAATTGGACAGAGAAGCTCTATTTAGACCAGCTAAGGAGCAGCAGTCCAGTGGGGACTCAAGGCTGTGTATTGTCCTCTAGAGAGTCATAGTTCTGGGGTCAGGCATCCTTCCCCAACCTTTGCCTGGGAGCCTTGATCCTTGATTGATCCTTTCGTTGGCTCTGGATTTTGAGGGACTTGTAGGTTGGAGGGGATAATGCTTCTGTAGATTTCTCTGCTTCGAGTTCCTCCCTGTGTTTCTAGTCAGAGATGATAGAAGACATTAACAGAAGATCTGAGGATGGGACTAAGCCTAGGGCAAGAATAAGGAGGGAACTCCAGCACAGAGTGCACAACAGGAAAGGGCAGGAAAGACTAGACTAGGGGGCTGGAGAGATGGCTCAGCAGTTAAGAGCACTGACTGCTCTTCCAGAGGACCCAGGTTCAAATCCCAGCACCCACATGGTAGCTCACAACTGTCTGTAACTCCAGTTCCAGGGGATCAGACACCTATGGCAAAAAACACCAATGCACACACACAAAAAAATGATGAAGTCTTAGATTTGCTTAAGACGGATAAGGTGGGGGCTGGAGAGATGGCTCAGGGGTTAAGAGCACTGGCTACTCTTCCAGAGGTCCTGAGTTCAATTCCCAGTAACCACATAGTGGTTCACAACCATCTGTAATGAGATCTGGTGCCCTCTTCTGGCATGTAGGCAGAACACCATATACTTAATATTAAATAAATAAAATCTTTAATAAAAAAAAAAAAGAACAAGGTATACTGGGCACAGTAGCTCATTCCTTTAATCTCAACACTCTGGAGGCAGAGGCAGGTGGACCTCTGAGTTTAAGGACAGCCTGGTCTACATAGGGAGCTCCAGATAGCCAGAGCTACATAGTGAGACCCTATCTTAGGGGAAAAGGGAGGGAGGAGCGAGGCAATTTTGTGCTTGACATCCAAAGCCAGCATATCTACCTACTATTGCTATGGGATATCCACATCAAGATTCATCTACCTCCAAGTCTTCCCGCATGCAAATATACACAAAGATGGAAGCTGGGTGGAGGCTAGTGCCATCCCTGGAGAGCAAGGATATGTGTCGGTAACCTGGAAACGGGCAGAAGGACTGTATTAGGAAGGGAGCCAGAGTTGGGATATTGGCCAGGAGTCCAAGGACTGCCTCACCTTGTTTCACACAGGTCCAGGGCAGGGTGTATTGACCAATAAAGTTATTCCGGGATGTCCAGCTGTAATCCTTTACCACAAAACGCAGTATAGCAAGTTCAGGCACCTGGACCCGGAAACAGAATGTCTGCCCCCAGTATGGATTAAAACCTGAAGTGGAGACAGGAATAAAGGTACAGATTGACCATCTTCACTAGGCCATACTTAGTTGCTTTCCCAAAACTCTTATTTAACCTAGATTGCCAGTCAGCACTTTACAAATAAGGACTCAGATGTAACATGGGCTACCAAAACGACCCAGTAGTTAAAAGCACTTGCTCCTTTTTCAGCGGACCTGAGTTCAGTTCCCAGAACCCATGTCTGATGGACCACAGCTGCCTATAACCCAGTACAGGGAATCTGATGCCCTCTTGGCCTCTGGACACACATACACATACATAAAAACCTTTAAAAATATAAAGCATAAGGCCTTTTTCCAATTCACAAGCCTATAAGGGAGGGCCAGGATTTCCTAGCCTACATCACTTTGCCGCCGGGATACACAGTCCCATGCACTGCACCAAATGGAGGACAGGATAGAAAGGAATTGGCAGTCTGGTCTCTCACCATTGTTCTCCACATAGTTGGTCTCTTGTTGCCTTGTGTCTTCAGGAACACCAAAGAGCTCTACTTTCACCAGTGGATCCACAATGGAACTCTCTTTGATGTTATCCACTTTGGGGAGTTGTTGACCACTGATGACCTGCAACCAGGGCACTGGAACTTCATGAGCCCCTGCTCAGTCCAGCCCTCCCTCACTCAGTGTCACACTCTTGAGAACACAGAACTTGCACTATAACTTCATAGTTCGAAAAACTAATCCTGCATAGACAGTGTATATTCTAGTTTACAGCCTGAAATTTTAAATGAATCGAAAGGCTTGAATGTAGGCACAGCAATGGCAACAGCCTTTTCTACAGTACCTACTGTGCACCAATGTTTACTGTAAGCACTTTGAAACGATAGTCCTCACAACCCTGTGAGACAGGTTATATAGCATTACCCCTATCTTGCAGGTGAACTTTACTGAGGTGACAAAAAACTTGCCTAATGTTGCATAACTAAAAGTCATTTGAAACTAGGCAGTTGGCTCCCTCTTCTGAAAAAAAAATTAGATAGTTATTTATTCGTTTATTTGAGACTGTCTCGCTGTGTAGCTTTGGCCTGGAAATAAAGGTGTGTGCTACCACTCCTGGTAGAAAACTTTCACTGTCAAGTTGAGCCAGCAGCATACCCCATCATACACATACACACCTCTATTCCAGCTATTCCAGGTTCTTCCCAACAGTTTCTGTCATACCTGGACTAAGAGGATCTTGGCCTTATAAGGACTGATGAGCCTCTCGGGATTGAAGGAACTCTGGATGTCACACAGGAATTCTGGCTTCAGCACATAGCCAGAGCCACCATTCTGGCGGAAGAACCCATCACAGATATCCATGGCACTCCCTGCAGTCTGCATATTCATAGCCACTGAGAATCCCAGGGAAAAAGAAAATGTCACCTTGGGATTTGGATGTGATGGTACACGTAAACTCAGGAGGCAGAGGCAAGAGGATACCCATAAATTCAACATAATCTTAGTCTACACGGCAAAGGCTTGTTTTTCTCCTTCCCTTCCCTTTTCCCCCTCCCTCCTCCTCTCCCCCCCATTCTCTCTCTCATAATCACACACACTATTCTCTCATATACATATACACACCTAGGCATGTGTGTATTAACATGCATGCACATACATCCTCCTTGGCCTTCTAGCCCCTCTTTCAAAGGGAATTAGAAGACAGTAGGTGTAAAGATGCCTGCTGCGGCTGGGTAGCACATTTGGAAGACTAAAAGAGGACAAAGTTTGAAACCAGCTTAGGCTATAGAACAGAGCATGATCCTCAATCAGTGCCTGCTGGAAACATTCCAATAGATAGCACCATTTTTCTCAAATTTTCTTGCCCTAGCACTCCTTTAAAACACTCTCCCACCCTACTTCCACTAGGGAATTTACCTCCCATCAGCTAATCCTCCACTCCCTTCCTCCCTGTCCCTGCTGCCTCCTCACCCATATGGCAGCCTGCATTCCAGAATTCCTGGGGGTGAAAGTTCGATGAATCTGTCCTCAGACCACTGGGATACACACGGCATAACTGCCTGGCATTGTGCTGTACAAACTCGTTGCCTGTCAAAAGGTACAGGGAAGGAGACTGAAGCTCTGTCTCTGAGGTAAGTCCTCCCTCTTCCCTGGTCCCAAGGATCTTTTCTACTTACTTCACTCTTCTTGGAATCTGAAGCTGGCTCCAGAAAGGTGACTGCCTCCCCCAAATTTCCTTCTCCCTAGAGCTTTGTGCTCACTATTCACAGATCTTTACCGTCTCAGGTTGAGAATATAATTTAGTCAAGCACTTGCCTAGCAGGCATAAAGCCATGGATTTGCATCCCAGCACTGCACAAACTGGAAATAGTGGTATACAGGGTAATCCTAGAACTTGGGAGGCAGAGACCAGAGGATCAGAAGTTCAAGGTAGTCCTCAATTACAGATCAAGTTTGAGGGCAGACTAGGCTATGAGAGACTATCTTTAAGACAAAACCACATTTCCCATTGCCTGCTCTAAGAAACTTCTTAACTCGGTCATCTCTCTATGACTTCCTTGTTCTGTTTCTTGGGACTTAGCTACCTGCCTGCCAGACCTGAAGTACCCATCCCATTTCGCTTCTGACCTTCCTCTCTGATAAGGTTCCTGGCCTTGGTCTCAGAGAAAGATGAAACATCATAGATATGGTAATTTTCTTTGGAATGAATGAAGCTGCAGAAGGGGACAGTCCTCAAGTAGACAACCAGGGCAGACAGGTCTGGGCACGAGATGGTCCTGGAATCCTGAAAAAGAAAGTGGACAGGAAGATGGTATTGAGTCTGAAGTGACCCAGAGAGAAGAGGCTAGTGGCCATCCAACCTAAGCCTCTGCCCAATACCTCCCCACTGTAGTCTCCCTCCTGCCTCACCTGGTTGGACAAGAAAGAGGACCCAGGAATGGTACTAGGATCCTGGGCCAAAATGTGACCACAGATAAGCAGACAAGACATCGGACACGCCACAACCTGGGGGTGAGGATGGGAATAAAGGCAGTCTGCATATACTGCTCAGATCAGTGTCAGCTCTGGGTTTGGAAGGTTTTCTCTATGCTACATCTTGGGTAACCAGTTTTTAATATTTTTAAACAGAGAGGCCTCAGTCACCCTACCTCTCTTAAAAACAAATGAACAATAAACCATGTAAATATACATGATCTTTTGCATGATGGTGCATGCCTTTAATCCCAGCACTCAAGAGACAGAGGCAGGTGGATCACTGTGAGTTTGAGCCTAACTTGATCTAGACAATGAGTTTCAGGTCACTTTGGGATACATATCAAGACTCTCAAAAAAAAAAAAAAAACAAAACAAAAGGCCGGGCAATGGTGGCACATGCCTTGAATCACACCTGGATTTCCGAGGTCCCACCAATGGTAGATTTTCTCAGTTAACCTCACCATATCTGGATACTTCTTGCTCCTCAAACTGTATCCTTTCCAAAACTACTTTCTCTGACTTATCCCATTATAGCTCAGACTGAGATCACAGCTGCCAGTGGTTCAGTAACTTCTTACTCAGTCAATAAAATAGCTACACACACAGAAGGGGAAGCAGGGGAGCAGGGGAGGGTGGGGTGGGGGGATAGAGAGACATACTGACCAATGGCCTTTAGATTTGCCTTTAAGGACTTTGTGAATAACAAAGTTGTGTCCAGAGTCACTTAGCTCCTTCATCTC